TGGTCAAGTCGCCTACCCAACAGTTTCCTGATGCTCCTGTCCACCGGCATCGAGCTGAGCATCGTTGCAGGCTTGGAGCTGAGCATCAGCAGGGTTGCAAATGAGCATCAGGCAAAGCTGCCCTCCAGGGTTTGATGAGCAGACTGTTGTTGGAGCTGTGGTGCAGTTTGGGCACTTGGAACGAGCAGTGAATCAGAAGCTTTCTACGAGTAGCGCCTCTGCCCGCACACTCAGAACTGAGTTCTAAACGAATGCACAGCCTGTACGATGCGAACCGCTGCTGCGCGAGGCTCAGGCCCCGGAAACCTGGCGAAGCAGGGCAGACTCAGAGGTGTGGAGGTGTTCAAAACAGCGCCAGTCCAGTTCAATTTGGCCAAGGTCTCAGCTATGGCTGCTGATGACTCGGCGCGGCCTGGCACAGCTACGGATCCACCCCAAGATTTGTCGGCGTGCAGCCAGCGCTCCCGCAAGTCGATCTTTTTTCGCACAGCACGATTGGGACTGCTTCAAAAATGGCGGCCGCGGCTTCTGCGTGCAGCTCGGAGGCGAACCGGTACTTCCTGTCCGGCATATGCCAGATGACCGGATGGGTGCTGTTGTCCCGGATCCACTTTGCCACATCTCTTGGCAGCACAGCGCTGCCAGCGCTCAACTCGTCAACGCCCTTGCCAGGACCTGAGTTGCGGTCGGTCATCAGGGCTTCCAAAATCTTCCGACCAGCAGCGGTGTCGTTGATCTTGCAACCGTCCAGGAAGCGCTGTACCTCAACGCGGGCCTTCGCCTTCATCTCGATCCTCCTTTTTGGCCGCCAGCATCGCCGGCCCGCCCTGCCCTGCTTCATTGCATTGCTCACAGGCCTCCACCAACTCCAAAGCGTTGAAGCCACCTGGACGCCATCACCAACACAAGAACACATGCGCAGGGCCTGAAGACGAAAGAAATCAATGCAGCCAAGGAGCATGCTGAGGTAAAACTCTTCCAATCATCCTTATGCCCATACAGACCCAGCATCGTTTCAGCCTCGTTTTCCGTCAGGTCCGCCACCCCAAAAGTTTCGCTGGCGTTGGCTGCCGCCGGCATCAAAGCTCAGGGCCATGGCGGCCGACGATGCGCACACCATCACCTCGGAACACCATGTGAAACACGCATCAGCCCGCTCGGACGCAATTCCAAGGCCTACCGAAGACAACTAGAACTATTCGGGTCCTGGCATGTGCCGTGGCGTCCATAGTGTCGTCGGAGCACAGGTATTTGGCGAAGCTCGAGACAGTGTCCATGCCTCACGACCAACAAGCAAGGGCGGAAGGACTTGAAATCCACAAGCGCCTCGTCTTGCGCGGGATGTCCAGCACGATGATGGGCACCTTCGAAAGGCCCCCCAACTTCTCCAGCTGCGCCTGCACCCGGCGCAGGACCTCCTCCAGCATGTCAGGCCCAGCCAGGCCCAGGCGCTCGTACAGCTTGTCCTTCCAGTCGGCATCCTCGATGGGGTGGAAGAAGACGCCCTGGACGCCTCGCAGGGCCTCTCTGACTGCCACGGACTTGCCGCTGCCGCATCGACCGGCGATGATGGTGGCGTGCGAGTTCCAATTCGCTATTCGTTGCTTGATGGCATCGAAAATGGCGCGGTGGACCACCGGCTTCTTCTTGTTCTTCTTCGGCTCGCAGGGCTGCATTATTTGCTTCACGGCAGCTTCCATTCTGCCTTCTGGCGAGTCCCGCTTTGCCCTCTCGGAGTCCCGCTTTGCCCTCTCGGAGTCCCACTTTGCCCTCTCGGAGTCAAGCTTTGCCCTCCGGATCGCAGCCCAACCCTGGAGGACCTGAACTATAACAAACACAATGCCAACGATGCTCATGACAATGTCGAAGCTGCTTTTGTTGTTCACCAGCTTCCCTATGATGGAGACGCGCTTATGCTTCCTGGTCAACCATGACCACGTTCTTGCCAGATCCCATGCTCGCAGCTGCGTGTGTGGTTTGTTCACTTGCTGCGGCCACCCCCTGGCCAACGGAGCCTTCAAGCATGCAGCTGCAGGCAGACCCTCACAAGCAACCACAATCCCATGTGCCTCGCTGGCGAGCCGTCCACGACTCATACCAAGATTCGCCTGCAGCAAAACCATCTTCCCGTGCAAGGAGAATGACAAACTGGCTCCGGCCTGCAGCACGAACGTTGGCGCCGTGGTGACAAACAGAGCCAGCGCAGGCTTTCCAAGCATGCGCTTTGGCGCCATGGCTTCAAAAACACACTTGCCTCAGAAATCCAACTTGACTTGAGCAGTCGAGCTTCGTGTCTCAGGAGCTGCGTCGGGGCACATGCGGCTTCTGCGCACAGACAGTGAGTGATGCTTGAGTGTCGCATGAGACCCACATCCCCGGCCTCCATGAACTTCACCTCAGGAAGCATGCGCTGCATGCCATCAAGAGAATCCTGCCACAAACAACTTGTCAGTTTTGTCACCTGCCGGCCTCGTGATAAATGGCTTCAGA